CAGCCTCCACCACATCACTTCCTAGTGCATTCCATTTATTAACTACTCTGACACTGAAAAAAAATTCTTTCTAACGTCTCTGTGGCTCATCTGGGTATGTGTGTGTGTGTGTGTGTGTGTGTGTGTGTGTGTGTGTGTGTGTGTGTGTGTGTGTGTGTGTGTGTGTGTGTGTGTGCGTGCGTGCGTGTGTGTACTACACCCTCTTCAGCTGTGTTGGCAGGTGTGCATGCAAACCTCTGTAGTATAGACTTATACACATGTAGACGTCTCTTATATGCGCATAGGGAGGCTCAGCTCTTTCAGTAATGAGCATCATTTATCCGAGTTTACACAACTACAATACAGCGTTTTGTATTTTTGGGACAAAGATGTAAACCTGATCAGCGAGCTACCTTTAAACTATACCTGGAGTATACCTGGAGCGGTGTCTCGTTGGAAGAGAAACGTGTTATAGTTACGTAAACGTTACTAATAGGTGAAATGATAAACAAAAACTGATTTGGAATAATCAACGATGTTCTAGCAACAGGAAAGATGTCAGAATCAGGAGATATGACACCCACAGGAGGGATAAAGCTGAGAAGGGAGACGAACCTGCAACAGGAACGTGGAACCTGCAAGAGGAACGAGGAACCTGCAAGAGGAACGAGGAACCTGCAAGAGGAACGAGGAACCTGCAACAAGAACGAGGAACCTGCAAGAGGAACGAGGAACCTGCAAGAGGAACGAGGAACCTGCAACAAGAACGAGGAACCTGCAACAGGAACGTGGAACCTGCAAGAGGAACGAGGAACCTGCAAGAGGAACGTGGAACCTGCAACAGAAACGAGGAACCTGCAACAGGAACGTTGAACCTGCAAGAGGAACGAGGAACCTGCAAGAGGAACGAGGAACCTGCAAGAGGAACGAGTGAACCTGCAACAAGAACGAGGAACCTGCAACAAGAACGAGGAACCTGCAACTGGAACGTGGAACCTGCAACAGGAACGAGGAACCTGCAACAAGAACGAGGAACCTGCAACAGGAACGTGGAACCTGCAAGAGGAGCGAGAAACCTAAATACTGATAACTAAACTCCGATCAATGGGCCGGTGGTCACGGTACTGTGTACGTTTAGGGGTGATCCTGGACGTCATGGGTTCGAATCCTGGTTGGGTCATATAGCGTTCTTAGTGACATATAAGTCCAACCAACGCTAGAAACGATGCCACAATCTATTATGCAAATCGGGTAATCTGATTCAAGAGTAGTTACAACACACTCAAACTAATCAGAGGAAAAAACAAAGTAAATTAGTCGATTGAAAGGAGTTAACTAGGACCTAAAACTACTCCCTCAGCAAGCACCAGTACTGAAATACAGACAGGTAAGTGCACACAGGTGAGCGTAGACTACTTTGACACTTTTTCAGTGTCAGAGTAGTTAACAGGTGAAATGCATTAGGCAAAGATGTGGTGGAGGCTGACGCCATACACAGTTTCAAATGTAGATATGATAGAGCCCAGTAGGCTCAGGAATCTGTACACCAGTTGATAGTTGATTGATAGTTGAGAGGCGGGTGCAAAGAGCCAAAGCTCAACTCCTACAAGCACAAATAGGTGAGTACAACACGACAACCTAACAAGGGGCATTAACCGGTTGCTGCCCTTTCTGAGGAGAACAGGATATTGCCTCCTCACCTCCTCTCTACACTCCCTACCTGTAAATCCCCCTTTATATCTCCTGCTCTTCTCCTATCTTATCCCCTTTATTCTCGCTTATCCACTCGCTCTTTCACTTCCCCTCTCCTTCCTTTCCTTGTTTCCATTTTTCTTCCCCAACCCAATCATTCATTCTATTTTGCTTCCCGTCATTATTTCCTCTCTTTACACTGTTTCCACCCCACCGGTTCATGTCAGCGTCAGGCTTCACCCTCGTTCTCTCATCTCTGGTTCCTCACAATATTCCACTTAAGTGATGAACATGTTCAGGGTGAACTTAAATATGTTAATTGACAACCTCAAGTCTTCATCAACCCCCACTCCACTCCACGAGGTTCCAGGTATTATATCAGAAGATATTTATACACTGATATTTAATAGCATAATTGATATATATATATATATATATATATACATTCGTGTATATTACCCGATATTTCGTGAATATACACAGAGAGTTTCCCCTTTCATTCTGGGCTATGTTGAGGACTAAAGTATACTTACTGGTTGGTCAATAGACTCTTGTAGATACCTTAATAACCCTATATAGGTTGATAGGCTTTAAGCCCGATCATTTATCAGTGGTGTTGCCACTAATTAGCCCCGGTGGGTGAGGGTAATTACTCCCCTAAGTGCACGAGAATGTCCTTATACTTAATTAACAGTCAGGTATTGAAGCATCAACAGCAAGAGGACTTGCAATTACTTGCAAGTCCTCTTGCAAGTAATTGCAAGTCAAGTGTTTATGACCCTCAGCTCTTAATCATCACCAGCCTCTGACCTCTGACCTCTGACTGTCTTCTCAATCACGCCCCTTTTGATGTGACTCTGTAAACACTATTCCTTTAGACACTGCATATATAATTAGAATTAGATCTTAATTAGAAAGAAAACTATACACATTTGAACGCCTTCAACGATGTTGTGTTCAAAGCCTCAAGGCTTTTGAACACCCAGCATCTAACTAGCCGACCTCATTCGACGTTCAAGAGATAAACATGATCAATTCTACCAAAGGGAACATGATCAACTGAGCTGTGAATCCTAAGTCAGCCTTCATGCACCGACATCCAACAGCCTGGTTGGCCAGATGTAATTGACTGATAACTTACGTTATTAAATATATTCACGTAATTAATTATACTCGTAATGAATTGGTAACTCAGGTAATTAATAAGTAACTTACGTAATTAATTGGTAACTCCCCTCATTTATCTTCCTCTCATAATTAAATGGTAAATCATGTAAGTAAATCGAAAATAAATGTGCATTCTTAATCTGTGTTGTTTGGGCATCACATTGTACACCCTTTTCTGACCTCATCATACTGAGCACACTTACCCTGAGGTCATCATACTGTACACCCACTTCCTGATTTCATCATACTATGCACTCCTTCCTGAAATCCTACTGAGCTTCACTTACAGGCCTCATACTAAGCACCACCTGACATCATACTGAGCTTCACCACCTGATATCATACTGAGCATCACCACCTGATATCATACTGAGCATCACCACCTGATATCATACTGAGCATCATCACCTGATATCATCGTCAGTGTCGTTGTGTCCAGCTCAAAGCACCAGACAAGCCCCCTCACATCTCTCATTGCTCTTCAGACAACATAAAGCCCTCATAAAATCAGTCCAGAGAATCCAAATGAAACATAAAAAGGAGAAACCAATCAAGCCTCATAATATCTATCTATCTATCTATATATATATATATATATATATATATATATATATATATATATATATATATATATATATATATATATATATATATATGCTGACTTTTGTATGAGTAAACACAATAAAGGTTATCAATGACAAATGTTCAACGCGTGATCATAAATGAACATTGTTTCATTAATCTGGAAGCTATACCAGCTATGAATAAATTGGGTATTGAACGTTGAGTGAACAGAAACGAGTGAATAGAGGCGAGTGAACAGAGATGAGTGAAAAAAGACGACTAAACACAGGCCAGTAAACACCCCCAAACATTCTCCCCCAAAAAATTAAACTGATGAACAAATATAAACTAATTTCAAACTATATTAAGATAAAAATTGTAATGTGATAATTCGTCCTCTACATAAATTTCGAGTCGACCATTTATTAGTGTTGAAAATAACAGCGAATATTAATGGCTGCAACACGAAAACTCACTCTGACACGGGTGTCTGATCTAAGTCCCAACAGTCTTGCATACGGTATTTGCAACATTCATTTGCAATATTCCACGTTGACATAAAGCATTCAAATGCAACATTCAATTTAGACATTCATTTGCAACATTCAATTCAGACATTCATTTGCAACATTCAATTTAGACATTCATTTGCAACATTTCACACTGACATGAAGCATTCAAATGAAACATTCAATTCAGACATTAATTTGCAACATTCAATTCAGACATTCATTTGCAACATTCAATTTAGACATTCATTTGCAACATTCCACACTGATATGAAGCATTCAAATGCAACATTTAATTTGAGCATGAGCCTAATCTCCAACTCATTCTATTGCACAGAAATCCAATAAAATATTCAACTTCATTTGGAGTACTTATAAGATAGGATCAGAGAATGTCGTTCTGAGCACAGACCACCAGAACGCTCCGTACTGCGTGTAGGTCTATTCATCACACTTGACAAAGGAAATAAGATAAGATATTCACCTTGAGGGAACAAAAATTGTACCAAAACTTGGATATAAATCATGGAATGTTCATTTTAAAGATCTAACTTGCAAGAAGAAGAACAAAAGGCGATTTGATACATGTATTTAAGATCATTAAATAGTATGACAATCTTGACCCAGCAAAATACTTTAATTCTGCAATGGCTATGGGTTTAAAATTCCTGCAGTGACAATGGGTTTAAAAACACTGCAGTTTTGTCAATTGGTTTAAAAATAAAGGTAAACGTTTCCAACCAAACGAAGAAAAATATATTTTTTCCTCATTTAATAATAAACATGTGGAATGTTTGTCGTTTTTCTCACAGTGTAGTGTATATAATGAATTTATAATTAATCTTAATTATGATTCGCACTTTTATTATACACTCTATGTATAGTTTCTAATACATTTTAGTTGGGGTTCCATATAACCCATTCATCACCCACTACTCACTATAGTTATTCCACTTCACTCACGAGTGAAGAAAAGCAACACAGCTAATTACATTGACGATACACGTATCAGATGAATAATGTAGATTCCCTCACTGATTACCTTCAAACATGTGATGATGAACCCTTCCCCTTCTCTCCCCCCACCAGGAGCGGCCCACGTGACCCCAGAGGCGGGTGCCCACTGCCCAACGTGTCCCTATTTCTTGCCCACTCCAACCGAAGTCACCACTCCAGAGGGTATCCCGGCCAACCTAACGTGTGGCGTCAGGCTTCTCGCTGATAGAAAGGTCAGGCAAGGTCACCTCTTGTGTGGGAGGGAGGGAGAGAAGGAGGGAAGGTGAGGAAGGGATGGTGAGGGAGGGAAGGAGGGAGGGAAAGGGAGAGAGACAAGACATAAGATATGAAGGAACAGTGACAGATGACTGAAGCAGTGCCAAAAGCTTACTGGAAGTCCACCTGTTCTTGACGTACAGATAGACGGGTGAATGAACGGACGTACAGAGGGAAGGGTGAATGAAAAGACGGCTTGAATTGACGGATGGATGAATGGATGGTCCGATAGAGAACGATCAAATCATCAAACGGATGAGAGGACTATTGGTTTTGACGAAATAAACGGATGGGTCCACCAACCAGACAGGTAACCTTACAGACAGCAAACGTGGACAGTTGGACAGACAAAATAACAGACAGTCAAAGCCAAAGGGGCCGTCAATAAGTATAAACCCGAATGACCAGCCAATCGTACCATCTCACTCGGAATTACCAGCTAATCTAAACTATCCGTCTGAATTGTGAACTACAAGGTGTGCAAAAATGCTAGTGTGTGTGTGTGTGTGTGTGTGTGTGTGTGTGTGTGTGTGTGTGTGTGTGTGTGTGTGTGTGTGTGTGTGTGTGTGTGTGTGTGAATATATTCACAGTCATTGCTACAAAACGCCGTCACTTCCTGCGTCACTTATCTTGGTAATACATAAATACTTGTAATACATATATACATGGGAATACATATATATACTATGTTGGATATCCATGTAATTTTCTAAGTCGTCTTTGTGATAATCGATAGACAATTTCAGCGCGTTTTAACTAATTTATATATATATATATATATATATATATATATATATATATATATATATATATATATATATATATATATATATATATATATATATATATATAATGGCCTTCAAGGATTTGTTGTTCCAGGCCCTCTCTTGGGGGCACTTGAGACGTGCCCACTGCCTTGTTCTGCGCCCACGAAGAACAGTTATCAAAAACTGAAAAACTGTTCAATGGACTGTTCTTCAAAATATTATATCTTTCAGAAACTTTCATAATTAAGCAGTTATGCTATTTTCCAATAGACCAGAGGTTGTGCACGCCAGCAGCTGTCGCCAGGTCGCATGTGTGGGGGGGGGGGAGGGGATGGTGGGGGGGGAATGGTGGGCGGAGGGAAGTGATGGGGGGAGTAATGGGGGGGGGGGGAGACTAGAGGAGCAGGGGGCCATGGTGCCTTAACACAGGGAGGATTGATCATTAATAGTACATCTCATTGATAATTATGATCAATACAATCACACAACAAAAACAAAAATGTATACAATAAAACACATGCACAAAAAACACATGCACAATAAAACACATGCACAAAAAACACATGCACAAAAAACACATACACAATAAAACACATGCACAAAAAACACATACACAATAAAACACATGCACAACAAAACACATGCACAATAAAACACATGCACAATAAAACACATACACAATAAAACACATACACAGCAAAACACATACACAGCAAAACACATACACAGCAAAACACACACACAACAAAACAAGAAAACATGGATACAAAAGTTCGTAAAGAAATAGCCCAATACTTACCAATTAAAATTATTCTTTGGGGAGAAGGCAATACAAAAATAAAAAATAAAACTACATGTGAGAACCCGATAATTGAAACAATAATTATAGGCCAAAGAATGATTAAATAGACGGTGTTTATCTAGGGAATACCGGCATACTAATTATCCGTTAATCACATAATGTGTCTTGATTGCTATAGCCTGTACGTCAGTTTTATTTGACATAAATAATGTTTTTTGACACAGTTTTTATTGACATAGCTCCGTATGACAGCCTTCTATACAAACTTGAAACCCAGACTGGCTAACTAGACAAATGCTGGAGTAGAGAACATCCTGTTTTTTCAACAAATTAGTCGTTTTTTGTACGTTATGTTAACTATTGTTATGAATGTAACCAACTGAGAAAAGTAGCAGCTCACACATATCTCCGTTTTCTATACATCAGATTCGACGGGTTAGGTAATTGCTTGTTGTTTTTTTGTTAATTGTTAACAGCTAAAATTGTTAGGTAATTTCGTACATTTCTGGTTTCTCATAATACTGGGTATTTTACGGTGACAAATCAAAACACAGGGTTTATGGGGTGGGTAGAGGATACCTCTATGGTATCAAACAGAGGGCGATGGTGAGAGCAGACAAAGAAACGGATATTAACATAAGAGATGTACCTTATATTCTCCCTGACCTGTGAGAGGAAATAGAATCGTCTTTTAACCTTTTGAAACAGTTCCCAGATTATATAAAACCTACGTAAGACAATCGTTTGCGTATGCAGCACCGATATAGAGTCCAAACCTGAAAAAGCATTAAATATAACTTGTAAATTACAAAAACTCTCAACTAGACCAGAGAGAGAGACAGACAGAACTCTCCATACGATGAAAAGCTAAGCGATCCTAAATTCACTATATTTGAAGAAAGGCGAATCAGCGGGTACATGATATCCAAGAGCATGAGATAACATTCTAACAGCCAAAAATACACAAACAATAAGAAATATACAAACAAAAACAAATACACAACAACAATACACAGACAACCATACACAAACAAGTATACATACAAAGCTACCAAAAAAAAAAAAAACGCCATTTATCTTTCTTCCAATAAAAGAAATTGCAAATAAACTGCTAAAATGGAGATAAAGAAAGATATATGGCCTGTAACACAGTGGTCAGTGATATATGGCCCGTAACACAGTGGTCAGTGATATATGGACCGTAACACAGGGGGTCAGTGATATATGGACCGTAACACAGGGGGTCAGTGATATATGGACCGTAACACAGGGGGTCAGTGATATATGGACCGTAACACAGTGGTCAGTGATATATGGCCCGTAACACAGTGGTCAGTGATATATGGACCGTAACACAGTGGTCAGTGATATATGGACCGTAACACGGTGGTCAGTGATATATGGACCGTAACACAGTGGTCAGTGATATATGGACCGTAACACAGTGGTCAGTGATATATGGACCGTAACACAGGGGGTCAGTGATATATGGCCCGTAACACAGGGGGTCAGTGATATATGGACCATAACACAGGGGGTCAGTGATATATGGACCGTAACACAGTGGGTCAGTGATATATGGACCGTAACACAGGGGTCAGTGATATATGGACCGTAACACAGGGGGTCAGTGGTATATGGACCGTAACACAAGTGGTCAGTGATATATGGACCGTAACACAAGTGGTCAGTGATATATGACCCGTAACACAGGGGGTCAGTGATAAATGGACCGTAACACAGGGGGTCAGTGATATATGGCCCGTAACACAGGGGGTCAGTGATATATGGACCGTAACACAGGGGGTCAGTGATATATGGACCGTAACACAGGGGGTCAGCGATATTTTATCAAGTTTATCATATGCTATAATCAGTTTCTATTCATTTGCATAGTAAATTACCCGACCACTTGCAATGTTCGTTACAGCGACAATCTCGCTTCTTGCAGGTCAGCGTTGGACCTCTGATGCTGCAAATGGTTGTGCACCTTTCCTTCCCTACGTCTTATCTCAGCTCCTTGTCCTCAGATCCCAGCTCCTTGTCCTCAGATCCCAGCTCCTTGTCCTCAAATCCTAGCTCCTTGTCCTCAGATCCCAGCTGCTTGTCCTCATATCCCAGCTCCTTGTCCTCAGATCCCAGCTCCTTGTCCTCATATCCCAGCTCCTTGTCCTCAGATCCCAGCTCCTTGTCCTCAAATCCCAGCTCCTTGTCCTCAGATCCCAGCTCCTTGTCCTCAGATCCCAGCTCCTTGTCCTCAGATCCCAGCTCCTTGTCCTCAGATCCCAGCTCCTTGTCCTCAGATCCCAGCTCCTTGTCCTCAGATCCAAGCTTCTTGTCCTCAGATCCAAGCTCCTTGTCCTCATATCCTAGCTCCTTGTCCTCATATCCGAACTCCTTGTCCTCATATCCCAGCTCTTTGTCCTCATATCCCAGCTCCTTGTCCTCAGATCCCAGCTCCTTGTCCTCAGATCCAAGCTCCTTGTCCTCATATCCTAGCTCCTTGTCCTCAAATTCCAGCTCCTTGTTCTCATATCCCTTACAAGTGGCAATTGTTGTTTAACTTTGTCCTCTTTCCTGATAATTATCTTACCTTATCAGTGATAACCATTGGCAGTGTTTACTAGTTATTAATACACTTAGGAAGCTACTGAAGAGTTTGAACCGTAGTCAATATTTTCAATATATCTGCCTCTGTTTGCATTATTATTGTTGGCATGATTTAGTAAAGTTAAGAGAATTAAAATTATGTTTATCTACTCTGTTAACAACATTACCTGGGTTGTTATCAACGTTGAATGAAGCAAATAATTAAATTATTCATGAATATTATTAGGCTCGTTGGTCCGGATTTTGTTTCATTCACTGCAGGTCTTACATCAAGAGTGAATGTGCTCAAGGCAAGGCTACTGCTGGTGTAGCAGTGAACACAAATGGAAATTAATATGTTGAGTAAACAATTCTTATTCTAAGAGTTCTGAAAACTATCTGACACAGCTACTCTGACTGACATAAATACTTGTAACAGTGTCAGACCACGGAGGAAGAATTGAAACAGGAATTTCCTTTTAAGTACTTTCGTATAATAATACATCTTCAGGAGGAATGTACGTATATTAATACATCTTCATTCCTTCTGAAGATGTATTAATATACGAAAGTACTTAAGGAAATTCCTGTTTCAATTCTTCCTCCGTGGTCTGACACTGTCACATTTTTCATCACGTGTTAATTTTCGTGATTTACACACATAAATACTTGTATGTAGAGCGCTGGGCACTGTTAGTTCCTTCAGGGTGATCCTAGTAGGTAACTTTCTCTAGTTATTTGATTACATAACTACTTGTAACAATGATCAAAGCAGAAAGGCCATGGTACAGAATATGAC